CCCCTCCTTGTCCATCTTCCCCTCCTCTCCCTCCCCCCTCCTCCTCTCCACCTCTCCCTTTTTCTCCCCGTCCTTCCCCTTCCGCTTCCCCTCTGCCTTCCTCTCCCTCTCCCCCTCCGTCTCCTTCTCCTCCCTCATTCCCTGCATCCTCTTCTTCTTTGTCATCTCCTCCTCCTCCTCCTCCTCCTTCTTCTTCCTCTTCTTCTTCTTCTTCTTCTTCTTCTTCTTCTTCTTCTTCTTCTTCTTCTTCTTCTTCTTCTTCTCCTTCTTCCTCTTCTTCTTCTTCTTCTACTTCCCCTTCCTCCTCCTCCTCCTCCTCTTCTTCTTCTTCTTCTTCTTCTTCTTCTTCTTCTTCTTCTTCCCCACGCCGGCTGAGACCTGACCCTCCCTTATCTTTGTTGTCCATATTGGGACGTCGGCAGGCTCGCTCATTCTCCCCTCCTGCCAGTCCCCCTCCTTCTCGGCGTCGTATTGATGGTAATCTGCGGGGTTCTTTGTCTTACCGGCAGGCTGCTCTACCCCGTCGACGGCGTTCGTCATTTACGTGCCGACCCCGCCAGATCAGATCTGGCTTTCCAGTGGTGACCGATTCGGATCTGCGGGCAGACCTATCAAATATTTGTGGTTTGACAGCCACAAATGTCTGCCTACAGGCTTATCAGCGTCAATGTTATACTGCATCCCAATTTGTTACGATTGCTTATCAGCTTGACGCTGTTGAAAATCAGTTGTTGTATGCTCATAATAGTCCACCTCCTAAAGGCAGTAACTATAGTACCTCAGGAGGCTTTACTGTAAATGTCTTACACTTAGCGTTTCACGGCCGCCACCTTCTTATGCATCATGCGACGCCAGGCGATGACCTCAATAACCATCCTCATATTTCTGCCTGCGTTTTACACAGACCCGGCCATTATATGGCACTCGTTCGTGCGGCTGCCCAGTGGGAACTGTGGGATGGTGGGACGATGAGTCAAGCTATTTTTGACGTTAATGAGTTTTTGGGTGCATTGTCGAATCATACTTTGTTCTGGATTATTGACCGATTCTCGTGTGACACCTGTCGGGACAGAGATGCGGTGTGCCTTGGCTGTGGAATGCATCATCTATGCCATAGCCATTACCAATCTATTGCGACTGCTGCCGTCTGTACTGAAGGGTGTCCAACATTTCCTCATTGTACACATCCCTGTCACCCAGATATACGTTGTCCCTTTTGTGCCCAAGGACGCTATAAGAACTGCATGATGCCGCACTGTGATGAATGTCCTGCTGTTTTTTTGACATGTGGACAACATGTCCTCTGTCAGGACTGTTTTGATGGGATGGTTCGTGCTAGCCGTCCT